ATTTTTCTTGTTTGTCAGCGTTTTTCAAATCACCCACTGTCTTTAAATAGCTATTATAAGTTGAGTGATATTTATATCTATATAATCCATGTTGTTTCTCATCATCAGCCTCTATTTCGTTAATTAATGTTATTGCATCTTTAAATTTTTGTTCAACCTCGGAATTGTTTTGAATGTTATCTTTGAGTTGAAGTTTAATTAGAGTTTCTATTTCTAAAAACAAATCGTCAATTTGTGAGTTCATTTTTTTAAATATGTTTTTTTTTCATTAACAGTTAAGAACTAAATATTATTAAGTCCTATGGCAACTTAACGTTATTACTCAAAGGGAATTGTTCAGAAATTTAGGCTTATCGCAATTCTATCTAATTTTTATGTCTGCACTAGCTTGAGAATATTATGCGATAGAATTAAATTTAGGAACCCTACTTCTAAATTCGTTATATCGCATAATATATCATAATATACGTTCCAGTTGGATTATTCGATTGTATCTTATTATGGAATAATTGCAATAGACAACAGAAACAAGTACCGTATATGCGCGTATACAAGACCCGGGTCTGTTTCACTCCAATTTTAAAACCTTTTAGTAGACCTCGGGTCTAGTGAAAGGAAAAAAATTTAAAGTGCATACACATTTAGTGTTTACAATAGTCAGTCTAACTATTTGAAAAAAACACATTTTATTAATAAGGATTCCGTGGCTCACAACGAGTCTAATTCATGGGAGGTCTACTATTTGAGGGGGGGACGCACATATACGTAGTTGGTTTTGTTGGCCAGAACGGCAATGATACCCTGAGAAAGTACAATCGTAGCTATATTAGGAGTCGTCCGCCTCCTTAAGCAAGCCGGCGGTGAGTGAAGAAAATGATAAAATCATGTGCCTCTTATCTTGAAGCGGGCTGAAATTTTTTATATATGAAATTCTTTTCAGCGTTCCGTTTTTCTTTTTTTTTTTGTTTTGTAATAATATACACAATTATTTGACAATTAACTAATAATATAGTTTTCAAGCTTAATCAAGACATTTTACCTTAGCATACCGATTTTAAAAGTATATAGTTAAAATTATATTACGTATACAGTGAATGTGAACTATGCAAACTCGGTCATACGTTGGATAAAATATTTTTTAGTGGTGAAACACCGATTAAATGAGGCTGATCAAGAGAGAAACACGCATCAGTGTACATTTTAGTTCTAACTAGATTTAGAATCATATGTATATGCATGTGAATTGGGATTAGAGTTATAAGAAATATGTTTATTAATTATTGTTGGATTTATTAAGAAGCGTTTTTTCTAATGAGAGTTAAAAGGAAATCATGTTAATTCGCAGAACTACTTTATACTATCGTCACTAGCAGTGGTCTTTTTCGATTTTTAACAGTGCCCTACCTTGTTTAGTGCATCGAAAGTGCATCGGGGGTGCGTCGAGTGTAACCCAGGAGAGTCTCTTCCTGCGTTGCGAATACAAAATAATGGAAATTTTACTGTGTTCGCAACGCAGGAAGAAGCTCTCCTTATGCGAACCTGAGTTACACTCGACGCACCCTTCGATGCACTAAACAAGGTAGGGCAGCTGTTAAAAATCGAAAAAGACCATTGCTATCGTCACTAACACTATCCTAAATAAGATCAAGTACATTTTATAAATGTAGAAATATTCAGGCCACTTTACAACGCCCAACGGTTTCTCCCATGCATACATTTCATGTCTCTATGCCTACGTAACACGCTGCCTTTCTTGTGAAATCATCCCATTAATCGATGGTAATGAAGTATCATGTTAATGGACAAGTTATAGTTGGAGCATTTGGGTTTAGTGGTTTAGAATAGCATTTCTGTTTAGTAAAGTCTCTTAACAATGATAAATCGCGCATATATACGTTCGGTTTATTATCCTTTGGACCGTATGCATTATTAAGTTAGATTTAATTTTTTTGTCACTCATCGAGGAGGTGTTTCAAAAACTATGGAATACAATTACGGGTTATCTGTCCCTTCCGCCTTCGTGCT